TGGAAAGCGCATGCGCACACACACACACACACACACACACACACACACACACACACACACTCTTACACTTACACTGTAAAAATACTGTCCCCCGCTCACTATTACCCTTAAAGTCACTTAAGGGGGAAATCCCCTACATTTTCCAGGTTCTGAAAATCACAAGAACAATGAAGCCACATTTGAACCCAAACACTACATTAATTCAAGCAAGTTTGATATTGTTTGGGGAAGGGTGTGAAATTGGATCATTTTACAGCAAACATGAAGGAATTTGTTTTCTTACATTCAACACTTATGGTTGTGTGTTGCTCAGTTAAAGAATTAAAAAGTTCCACTTACAATTAATTCAGTCAAAAATGTCATTTATTTTAATATGTATTAGTTTGTGTGCATGTCAGCTTACGACCAAACTGTTTAAAGTTAAGTTTGTATATATAGTTTATACAAATTTCTCTAAATTTCTGATAAATTCCAGTAAAGATATTTCCAAAATTCCAGAGACAAAGTTTCCATAGAAATGTTCTGCCTCTTTGCAACCCTAGATTCAATAAAGAGACTAATCAAACGCCTCTGTTTCTTTCTTGTTTCCTGCCTAAAAAAAGACAAGCACACCTGGCATAGGCATCCTGCTTCTGTGTAAAGTCCTGTTGGGCCCAGGCTGGTGTCTGTTCTAATCTGAGGTACAGCACTCTCTCTGGTGGTCTCTCCAGTGGTTCCTCTGAATTCAATTCACTCTTTAGCAAGATCAGCAGGCCACACACTGGAGGACACAGTTTCTTTAGGAGACAATAACCAGACCAAGTCATTAATCACTTATATAGCATCACTCATACAACATTTGAAGGAATTTCAGTATCCATTTAATGTCTTTGATCAATAACTGAATAAAAAAAATGTCAAAAACAGACATTGAATAATAGTGGATACATTTACCAAAATGCTGAAATACTTATGAGCTAAAATAATAAAATATCATCTAGTGATTGACAACTAAAAACTTACCTGTTCTGAGTCCAATTGTGTGGTGCCGTCTTGATATACCATGGTAACAACAAATGCTTTCGCTTTTCCAGTCTCCTCTAAAATACATTCTCTCTCCTCTTGGGAGACACGGCCTGTGTCACATACCCTCGGGTCAGAAATCAAACTAAAGGCCCCTTTTAAGGTTGTTGTGGTTCCATCTTCTTTTCTATCTGTTTCTGAAAGAATATGGCTGCTTTCTTTGGAGCCTGACAGACTTGAATCTGAGGTTTTGGTCAGTTTGTTTTGTTTTTTGCCTCTTTTACTCTTAAATATTTTCTGGGGTCTGAGAAGACGGCGCTGCCTCTTGACCATAGGCTGAGGAGCTTTTCGTTGCTTTAAAAGCCGCATTGAGCCATTTACCTGGTGGAAGAGTTGTATGGGGAACCTTGGGTTTCTGAATGTCTTTTTGCACAAAGCTTTTTGAGAGGGTCCAGGTGGTTCCCATTTCCCAGCATGCTTTGAAAATGATGTCACCTCAACTGCCTGCATGTGTTAAAGAAATGCAGAAAAAGAAAGAAAAGGGCATCCGAGTTTAGCCTCACACCAATAGCTGTTATTCACATGTGAATAGAAAATATTCACAAATGCAAGCAGGAAGCATATATCAGTAACAGACAACCTTTTGCTCACAATCTTCCATCTCAGAGTGTAACTGTAAGAACCAGACAAATCAGCTTAAAAAGCTTCAATAAAAAAAACACGTCCACCAGTCCTCAGGCTGTCACTAGTAAAGCTTCCTAAAGCAGTTTTCAGGTTGATGCACCCACTTTAATGACTTCAAGAACTGCAAGTCTTCATCTGGTGGTACTCACCCTCTAACCGACCTTTTTGATTCTTTACGTAACAGACATCTGCAGTAAGAGATTTCCATTATTCATTAGTAGGCGGTTTCACCTTGGAATGAGTTCAAATAAAACTACAAGCACTAAGGGTCAGAAGATTATTGCACACTAGATAATAGATCCCCAGATATTATCCAGAATTTAGTGTTGTTTATCTATTTAAGTCAGCATGCAGGTTAGAGATGCTTTATTTTTGATTGTATGCGTGTGTGTTTGTGCTCTTCATCACTATAGTGCTCTATATTTCAGAACCCTGGGGAAAGATCTTTTTTTCTATTCTTTACTAAGGAAATTTACTCATTTAAATGCAGGTTGATGCTTCTTCCTCTAAATCCCCACAACACAACACAACGTTCCTATCGGTAACACCCTGTGCTGTACACGGTGACCCTCATTCTCAATCATTTGCATGTTTACTGCTCCTTTAAAGATTATGGTGTTGCATTTTCTTTTCAATTTGGAGAGATTTTGCATACACATTGTAAAGATGTGTTCTTTAAATCTCAAATGGATATAAAAATAAAAAGATAAACTGAAAAACAGCAGAATCAAAAGGCAAAAGAGGTATTGTAGACAAAAAATAGGCTTAATTAATAAAAAAAGATGATATAACACAAACAGGAGTACCTTCTTCTGTTCTGAAGTCAGTACTTCTGCATTACCTGAGAGTGGGGCTGGATGCTGTGCTGCATTGCATTTCTGCTAGATGATGCTGCACACTCCATCTCTCCCTCTAGAACAGGCATCACGACTGTATTATCATCTGACTGGGGAGAAGCTGCATGTATGAGAAAAGTGAACGGTGCATCAGCAAACTTGATCAAGCTCATTTCTGCCCAATGGACAGTGTTGTATCATTACTTTGTACCTAGTTGGCATAAAACACAAATATGCACTGATCTGCACCATTCTGCAAATAATTCAGAATTATCAGTATACTGATAAACCTGTGAAACGAGTTTGACCATGAACTGGATCACTAAATGGGTGTGGCTGAAAAACACATTACCAGTCTTATCAGCTTAGATAATACACTAGTAAAAATAATTTAAGACAGGTCACCCAAAATTAAAATTTACTCATTATTTACACGCCCTTGTCTTGTTCCAAACCTTTTTGAGTTTCTTTTTTCTGTTGAACACAAAGAGGATATTTTAAAGAAAGCTAAAAACCTTTAACTACTGACATACACAATAGGAAAGACAAATATTACTGAAGTTAAGAGTTGCATGTTTTATGCTTTCTTTAAAATAAATAATTTTGTGTTGAACAGAAGAAACTCAAATAGGTCTGAAACGAGTGAAGGGTCATTAAATGATGACAGAATTTTTACTTTTGGCTGAACTATCCATTTAATATGTGAAATGTTGGCATTTTGTAGTGCAGCCCTAAACATTTTTAAATATGGTTTAATAATATTTTGTATCACCTAGAAATCTATCATTAATCTACTTACAAGTTCTTAACTTGGTAATGTCTCTTCTTTCAGTGCCATTGTCCACTTTCTCCCTGCTTGAGTCCATCATTTTATCTGACCTATTAGCTGTGTCTTGCTGACATTCAAACACAGAAATACTCTCACATCTTTTGGCATCTGGAGAGTTTTCCATTGGAACTGACAATTGACAGTTTCTGCTTTCTTCCCAGTAATGGCTGGTCTCCAGAACACATTTTGAGGTTATCATGTCCACATTAGATATACATCTAAGACTACCAAGTTGCACTTCTATAAACGCAGCTCTGTCCTCAGAAACAGAATCACTGTTTTCTTTCTCTGGCAACCAGGGTTGTCCATTATTATTCCGCTTGTCCACAATATCAATCATTTTGCCCTCTTCTCCAAATGCAGGCTGACAGTTGTCAATAGGCAACATAAAGTTGAACTTCTTCATTGGAGGAGTCTCAGGTTGACTGCAACCCACTAGGTCTTGTTCAGGGGGGCTCGCTGGCTGAATCCATTTCCTCTTTCTAAAGGTCTGTCCATGGATCTCGGATTGTGTAATAACATCTGCTCTAGCCTGAGGACTCCCCATACTTGTTAAGCAGAACGTCTGCAAACTGTCTTCTCCCTGAACTGAAGGTGTGAAATGCTGGCCGATGGGCGTTATGATATTGTCAGCATGGTCGAATACAAACCTCTCAATAATGGGTAAATTGAGCGCAAACCTATCAATGGCCATGTCTTCCAACTCTGAGGAGTTTGAATGTTCTGCTAGCTCATTTAAATTCAAGTCTCTAAAGAGAAAAACATGAATCAGAAGATAAATTGATCAGCAGGCAAGTTCTATGAATGGAAATTTATGACTAAATATTCTATACATAGAATTTATTTGTTGATATTAGGAAAATAATGTCATCAATGATGCAATACTGTATGTTTTGTATAAATAAATAAAAAATGCTGCTTTGATTCATTCGGTTTCATTTGTGGCATTATTCACCTGCTATTCCCTGAGTGCAACTCTACATTTCTGTCATCACCATCCTGCTGCTGGGCCATTCCAAATCCTTGATCGCTCCAGGCTGTAATTTTAATAATTTAACAGATTCCCTCAGACAGAGAAAAATACTGAATCCCTTTTAAACAGTTGCTTGTGAACAAAGTCATCGCGCCTATCTTAAAAGTTAAAACTTGCAGTTGAGCGTGAACAAACTAATAAATTTCAACATCCTCTTGGCCATAATAAACCTTAAGTTATTAATTTTGGAAGAAAGTTCCGTTTCTAACTCACTAGCTCTGCTTCTGTCTGCTTTTTGCACATATTGGACCCGAAGGGCTGATATGATTCTCTGTGCAGCTGCAGAGAGTGGAACGGCATTCAGACTGCTGCAGAGGTAGCTCTCCATGTTCGTTGCTGCTCTATTAGACTGTCTTAATCCTGAAGACACAGAAAAAATAGCAATGAGGCTAAGAAGAGGCTTTGGATGAAATCTGACATAGTCAACATACGTAACAGCAGTAGAAATACATTGTTCCACATCAGTCAACTCAGATCTATGAAAATACAATCTACAGTAGATAGACAGCTGGTATTTTCAATAAGACAAAACAATAAGGCAGAAAGTGCTGAAGCAAAACACCTTCATTTATAAAAACTGTCAGAAATACACAAAAAAAAAGACTTGCTCAAAGACTTGCTGAGATAACAAATATTTATTAACAAGGATACATCTGTTAATCACCAAATAAACTAACAACATGATTTATACAAATTATGGAACATCTGTTAAAGTACAATTGCAGATTAATGTAAATCTAGGTACTGAATACAAATTTGTTAACATACCTAAAGAACAGCAGATAATACAGATCTACATACGAGACCTACAGAAGCAACAATGGTGAGGCCTAACCAACAGGGCATTGATTTCTCAGTTATATAATTTGTGCAGGAAGCTGTACATGTTGGTTGGAGTGGAGAAATGAGATTTGATTCTACATAACCCCTGCTTGAGCCTCTATATCTCTTACTGCTCTGTTGAGTAATCTTGGGTCCAGATGAAAATAGACATACAGTTCCCTCTCTCTCCGCAGGGTGGCACTGCGTTCAAGCCTTCCGCGTTTGGTTTTCAAGTCCCCAACTATCTCCTGAAGAAGCATATACAGGGTCTTCTGCTTGACCTCCAGTTCATCAACAACTATTGTGAGCTCCTAAACAGAAAGACCGGATAAGAAAGTCAGAGAGACACCAAGGCATGAAGCATGACAGGAATTTTACTAAACTTAAAGGGCAAATGTAAGAGACAGTGTATGTGGTGGAAAGGTGTTTGCCAAAGTCAAAAGGCAGGAAAGAGTTAGAACTATATATAACTTGCATTATCTGTGATCTGTTGTAAATGTTGTAGCATTCTAAAATCTGCATTTAAGTTCCTAAGAATATTGACAAATGTCTGTGCATTCAAGTACAGAGAGGTGAACAACAAATGCCACTGATGAATGAAATTGATATATAGGACTACAATAAAATAATGGTAAATCAGTTTTAAATGAAAAATGAATAAGAGTTGCAGAAACATTTAGATTACATTAGTGCATGTGGCAAATACTCAAAAGCAAATAACACTGCATCAAAAACCTGAAAATGTTTAAGAGGAATTGTGATTTAAATATAGGTTCTGAACTAACTTTGTTGGAAGCCTCTAAAAGGTACTATCAGAATAAACGTGTTCATAGATAACTATACATAATGGGTTACATAGACTAGTCGACTTTATTGCTCTCCAGTGATGCCTTTCAATTGATGTCGACTAGTTGCACAGACAAGATCACCTGGTTTGACATGAACTACATGGCAGCTTTGCTTTAGATCCCCAGTGAACGCAGTGAAGATGTGCATCGAGGAGACGTCTGATAACCAAGATGAGCCAGTAACCACGAAAAACAAAAACAAGATGTTGAGCAGCTTTCTAGCGTAAACTATCATATTAGTAAAATATGCGTCAGAGCAAGTCTCTGACATTGTAATAGGCTCAGCATCATAACTAGAGCCATACAATCTGCGGACATTTTGCTATTTCTGCACAGAATTTTGTAAAACAATTGTGTATTTATGCTAAATGATTTTGGGAATATCATAACTAAAAACTATCATAACTTAATAAATAAAAGTTAAAAAAAAAATGTTATTTACAATGCAAATCCAATTAGATCCACTGTAATTATGTTTAGTAAACAAAGCAAGTCTCTCATATATCTACGAATAGACTGACAATATGACTTTACAAACTGTATTATAAATTAATCACACATTTTCATATTAGTCAATAATATTACTGAAATTAATTTCAAAAGTGAATAAATATACATTTACACACAATAGACTGAATGATGGGCAAAAAATCTGGGGAAATCTGCAGATTTCTGTGTGAGCAGACTAGGTATGGGACGATAAATGTTTTCAAGATATACTGCGGTTAGAAAAAGTCAAGGTTTTAAAACTGGCAGTTTTTTCTGTTATACTGTTTTTTTAATTTTTTTTACATTATTTTAGGACAGTATCTCTAGCAAAAACACATATCCAAAGATACCATTTTAAATTGTAAAGAAATCTGTAAGATGTATGCATTACTTCTGCACTAAAATATTGCCTATTGTTACATTCTTACTAGAACGTGCAGTGATCAATGTGTTGTCTGTGTTTATTTGGCAGTTGAATTAGCCCAAGTGCTTAACTAAAGGGATGACAATCCATATGTTTTGCATTAAAATTAGTCACTGGTAAGGTTTCATTATTTTTGTAATGTGTTATGAGCTGTTACAGCACGTGTATATATTTCACATATATATTTTACATATAAAGTGTGGCATGTTGCAAAACATTTGCATGTTGTGTTTTACTAATGACATCACCAGCAACAAGTCAAAATCGACTTGACTTTGATAACATAAAACGATCTAAAGTCGCTCAACACCAAGTATACATCAGTATAAATAAAATATGTTGTACTGTGAGGTGTTACAGTAACAAGTAAAACCAAAGCCCCAGACAACTCTGAATCTCACCAATCAATAAAAACAAGCAGATGAAAACAAAAATCCACCACCAAATAATTATGTGCAGGAGAACTCATTTGTGTCACCAATAAGAATGACAAATCAATATGCTCACATTTTTTTGGGATTCACGAGCGATGACGGCGGTGAGGTTGAGAAAAAAGAAAGACATACCTGTGCATGTGGGCAGAGCTCCAGTGCAGGTGTGGCTGTAGCACATACCTGCGGCCTCAGGAGAGGCTGCACAATGTCCGAGTACGCCACTTGGTCAAGTGCATCTCGGTCACGTTCTAATCGAGCTCCAGTATAAGCCTGCTCTTGTCTTGCTCCATCCAAAGCCTCTTGTACAGTGATCAAATCCTCTTGTAGTTTGGAGGCTGCAGTTTCCAGCTTACTGTAAGTTTGAAATGGATCCTCTCTGTTTGTGGATGCTTTTCCCAACTCAAGCATCTGGAGCAACCTGAGGGATAAATGCAGTAAATGGTACATGTGTATTACCAACTAAACCTACATTACATGGTACAAATTGTTAAGTTAAAACTCTCTTCATTCACAGTCAGGTTACCTGGTAAAGGCTGTGTCCTTGGAGCTGATGACCTGTTGATTAGCATTAGCACCAAGGAAGGGGTCTTCAGTCAAGTGAGATTGTGTCAAAGTGTTTTCTCTTTGAGTAGCATCTTGTGTTGCTCCCTCCAGCCTCTCCACAATGTCATTAATTTGCCCCATCACCCTCTTTCCTCTCAGAAGCTCTGCATCCTGGGCCAGACGTAAAAGTTCAAAAAAGGCTTTTTGATGGAGAAGCTGGTCACGAACCTCAGTCTGTCTGGAAGCGAGGTAATTTTGCCTGGCTACCTGAAGAGCGAGATCACCACGCACCACAGGGATGTTAAGAAGACGTGCACAGTCTCGTAATGCAGAGCGGACTGGGTCTAACAAAAGAGATTGAATTTCAAACTGAACTGATGTGATCTCAGAGCGTAGGTCAGGCTCAAGTCTGCTCATCGGCGAGTAGTGCACAGCCTACAAGGAGAAAATAATGAAAATGAGAAACATTTAGATTTACTGATGTAAACTTTTTTTTTACAGTATTTTTTTACATTTTAACACAACCTTGGAAGATAAAAATATTATGCCGTTTTTGCCTCAGTTTTAAATCGAAAGTCTCAAAATGAATGTCAGAATGAAAATAACAACGTATAGTATGCTATAAAAATACAGACAAAAATGTGATTACTAATGAAAACCCAATGAAAAAAGCTCCTTCATAATTTCAATATGAACATTACATAAAATAGTATAAAGATTATTTTATTATTGCAAATAAATACTTTGCCACTATATAGTCATCATTCAACACACTGATGTAATATAATATAATATAATATAATATAATCTGAACAAAGTATTTACCTCTGAGCTGCTGTTCAATCGCTGGATAAGCCACTCTTTTGCTGTCTTGTCACCATTCTCTTCAGCTTTCTCTTTCACCACCTGGTATTGAGCCACTATAAATGCCCACTGCAGTTGTGCCATCTCCTTCTTCCTAAGCTCCACTAGTTCTTCATCCACCTCTTTCCCATTCTCACTGCAACAGCTCAGATTGGTCATCTGGGAGCGACTGAAAGTCGAGGTCTCCATTAAGTCAGAGATTCCCTGAAAGAATTGACGCTGTGTGTATGAAGCCAGAGTTTTGGTAAATTGCTCCTGTTGATGGAGGAAAGGCTCTAGAGGACACTGAGAGAAGAGCACTGGGCTCCCTGATTGAAGACCTAAAGATGGAGAGGCACCATCTTTGCTCCTTAGGGAATTAGAAAGATCACTTTGGAAAAAGCCAGCCAGTTTGGTGGTCTCCTTTGACAGGTTGTCTAGAGCTGAATTGGTGTATGCATTTTCGGCTGCTAGGGCAGAGTTGGCATCCTTTACTTTATTGTCTCCTTCCTGCAGCAGCATTTGGGACAGAGAGGAGTTTGCACCCCAGCTGGCTGCTTGCATTTGCAGCTTGTTGAGTCTGCGTTGTTTTAGCTGCTTTTCCTTACGGAGGGCTTGAAGTTCTGTCTCAAGTTCCTCAATTGTAACAGTTCCTTCTCCCCCCAGTGAAGAACAGCTCTGTGACCCGAAACCCCCATCCGCGGGCAAACAGGTTTTAAGCAGCTCAGCCAGTGTGGCCTCATCTAAAATTGGTTTCCCAGACTCTTGTAGTGACTTGTACGCTTGCAATTCTTCTGGTGCTAAAACATTGCAGCGTTTCAGGCGGTTGCAGACAATGCGTAAAAGGTGCAGGTTATCTGGTGCTGTGTCAAATAACCAGTCAAACTCTGAACATTTCAGCATTGAAGCCCGTGGGTAACCCAACCGTGACAACGCCTCAATAAACTGAGCCCCGTCCAGCATGGCTGCTTATGTGGTTGTGGCTCACACTTCAGAGATAGTTTGTTACCCTAAAGCAGATGGTCAAAAACATTTATAGCAGGCTCAAATGATTCTATGTATTCACAAAGAGAAGGCCCAGTTAAGGTCTGTGTTACATGATGTACTGCATGTGTCAAACTTAAAGACTGTGGGCCAAAACCAGCCTGCCATACAATTTTATGTGACCTGCAAGAGCATGATTCAAATCAAATGCAAACTTAGTAATTTATCCTAGTAGATAGTAGATTACATACAAAGCCAATGTGACGTCCAAGTTCAAGATATTCAACTCAAGCGTTGAAAATTCACATAAAAAGCAACCAATGAGCAATCTAGAGCAAGTGATACTGTGGATTGTTTATGGTGTGAACCTAGCATAATAATAAGGATTTTATGGGTGTCAAATTCAGTTTCTGGAGGCCTGTGAGTTTCAAACAAGCCTGATGAACTTAGAATTAGTTTAATCATGTGTGTTTTATTGGTGTTAAAGCTAAACAGTCCAAAGTTGTGGTCCTCCAGAAACTGAGTGGGACCTGTATTGACTATAAACTACATCTCCCATAAAACATGTCTAGCTAATTATTTGTCGTTCCATAGTTCTGCTCCTCTGAAATATGTCAGTGTTTTGGAGAAAGGTAGTGACTTGTGTTTAATTATATTTGCCTTTGCTATTTAATTAAAGTAATGTGGGTTTCTTAACCTGATAAAGTTATTTATATTAAAATAACCCAGAGAAGTAACATCTATTTTACATTTATTTATTTGTTACTTTTACGGCAGTTATAATGTTGAAGTTACCCATAAATGAGTTTGACACCTTTGCTGTAAGCTGTAACATAAAACCCACACAGACACAAATTATAACAGTAGTGAGTGAGTGAAGTAGTCCATCTGCCAGGTTGTCCTTATTACATGACCATTCCACATCAGTTGTGTTATTTTATTCTATATATATGCTTCACTCCCATTCATAAATTCTCTCAGTGTCTATTGGATGTGCACTTCCGAATCTTACAGGTAGGGCCAGACGGAATCTGCGGATGTTTTTTGCTATTTCTGCTGAGAATTTTGGTAAAAATCTGCGGATTTCTGCAGAATTATTTTGGGAGTATCATAACTAAAACCTTTACATGTGAAATAAAAAAATTATATATTTTTAACTTTTATCTAATGTTTAAAATGCAAATCCAATTAGATCCACTTTATTTGGTAAAAAAAAAAAAAATTTGTAATATAATATATCTAGTAAAAGACAGAAAATATTACTGTACAAACTGCATTGTACATAAATCAGATGAACATTTTCACATTAGTCAATAGTATTCCTGAAATTATTTAAAAAACTGAATAAATATAGATTTACACACATTTACTCAAGTAAATAAACAGAATTAATGATGGGCAAAAATCTGTGGAATTCTGCGCTCGCTGATTTCAGGTGGGCCTACAGGATTTCAAACACAGCCTGACAGCTGGTGTCAATAAAAAAAAAAAAAAAATTAAGCTAATTTTTCTCTTAAAACTTAAAAGAAAAAAATATACTGTTTCTAAAGCTAATTATACATCAAAGACTAGCTTTCATGTTTGTAATTATACAAATTAAATCATTTTTACATTAAAAAACTAAGAAAAAATGGTGTTATCTGCTTTTTTTCTGTGCTAAAAAACTACTGAAATAAGAGTATATAGTCTCACAACACTTGAACAGCCTATATATCGTTAAGGGTTTATATATTATTACAGGGTTCATACACTATTTTACTACAAAAACTACCTTGACTTATCCAAGACTTTCAAGTAGATTTTTATGGCCTAATGTTTCATACAATGTCTACATAAAAAAACAATACGTGTTAAAATTTATAACAGCATTTTGTAGACCACACAACAATCTATTTAGTTTCAGCTTATTTTTATATCAATGTAAAATTGATTCAAAAAATGCTAACCTATATTCAAGTATACAGATATCGTTTTTCTGAAATTTTAGGACTGGAAAATGCCATGTCAAAATTCCATGACTTTTTTTTGTTAATACATTTCTGTAAGTTACATGAATACTGTTAGGCTCCACAAAAAACCATCAAATAGTGCTATTCAAACTATTTTTGAGAAGAACACTCTCATCATGACAAGAAGTTATAATGGACGGTAATTTACAAGACTCATTGATCAGTTTGTCACCAAGTTAGCCAGAAAATTTAAACACGACTCGGTTATGAAAAAGACTCCAACAGCTAACGTAAAGTCAAATAGGCTTTCATTTTAAAGGCAGAATGTCATAAGAACAAGTTAACGGTAAATTGATTTGAATTTCAAGAACTGTTGACGATTATCTGAGCGCATCCGCTGCTACATTAAAAGCTGTGGCAACTTGTTACTTTCAAATTCAATTTTTCAAAAGCTGGATGTGATATGTACTTCACAAAACAGCTTATAATAATAATAATGATAATATTTATAATAATAAATATACCTACCTCGGAAAACAGAATTGTTTTCATGAGACACTCAATCTGCCTCGCTTGTCACTTCCGAAATGCCCGCGCTTGCCTTCGTCACGTGACATGAAGTGGTTCCTCGACAAATAAATGATTTCAAACACTTATTTTTTTCTCATTAAACTTGGAATTATATTATAATAAAGCGTATGATTGTATAAAAATATATACAAAATTGGACGTCAGTAAAAACAATTCAGAAAGTTTATCGTTGAAGGTGATTGACAAATGCTGTCGGCCAATCACATAACTACAAATAGTCAGCTGTTTGAGAGTCAGCCAATCAGGTTGACGGTTTGTGGGAGGGGCTTAAACATTTTTGCTACCGTATGTGTGTGCGCGCAACCCAAGAAGAACAGAACTGAAGTGGTCGTGTGCGCAGCATTAAACGGGTACGTATAATAGGATATCGATGTTAAATTATGATGGCTATAATTCTTTCTGCTACATAATGTTTAGATTTTTTGTAGTTGAAAGCAAAACATTAGCGTTGTTTGGGAATCTGTGATTTTGTAAATCCCTACCCAGACAGCACACATACGTTGGGCCGACGTCGGCCGAAGGTCAACACGTCGGCCCCTTTAATTCTAACATCGGTATATGGTCGGCCAAACATACGCATGATCGTTCGGTCGTGTGTTCTATTGTTCCAGCTCAACAAACGTCGGCTCTGCGTCGGTTAACGACCAGAGGCCGACGAAGCACTTCATAAGCACTTGATCTCTCATGCCCATGAAAGAATCCGGCAACATATTTGGTTTACAAGTAAGTTTTTGCGTGCATAATAAATTAGACAAACGCGACATGCATCATGTGAACTGCGTCGGTCGGTCCAGCTTTAAATAGCCTACATTAATGCAGTAAAACTGACCAAAATGCCTACAATACATGATTTCAATTCATTAAAATATAAAAAGTTTTATTGTTATGCTTTAATAATGAAAACGTTGTTTTTTTCTGGTGTTAACTGCTGTTTGCTTTTTTTTATTGTGGCTTTTTCTAATACATTTTTCCCAGTGTAAAAATCAAGTATGTTCTGCATTTCGGCTGTTTAATTAAAATAAACACCTTTTTACAGAGTGACATCTTTGTTTTATATATCCTTGCATTTATATTTATTGGTTATTTATTTTTGACAGTGAATCTGATGCACAAATAAAGTGTTTGTTTTGTAACAGTTTAGTAGGCTATAAAGCTCGTCTTAAAGATAATAGCGTATATAAAACTGCTAAATACATTTTAAATTCAAGATTTAAAATACAAGGTTATTATTTAAATTGTCTATGGAGTGATCATGTTTATAAATGCAATACTTCAAGACTTTAATGTGCGCGCGCGCGTCTTGCTTCCAACACTGGAGCTGAGGGGATGTTGCTATGGGAAACAAAGCTACAACACGACACGACACCACCTGAAAGACACAACACGACTTCTCTCAAGCTGCCGTTTTGACTGTTTTCAGGTAAGTTTAGTCCCTAAAACAAAGCAAATACTACATAAAACTGTTCCTCACACATTTATTATTGGCAATTGATGAATATTCAGTTGAATATTATGTTATATAAGAGTGGTAAGTCTTCGTAAAAGTCCGTTAGCATATTAGCACTGGTAACGTTAGCGTCGGGGTAATATTACGTTAACTTACTTAATGTTAGCTCTTGTTAAACTTGTTTGTTAAAGTTTTGGCTTTTATTTATTCTTTATGTGTAGATGAGAGGTTTTGTCAATGTTTTATTGAATGCACTCCATATGTAACGTAGTCTAAAATACGCATTGTACTGTAAAGGACCGTGAATCAAAAGTTCAATCGTGTTTTGATATTTCATGGTATCTTAAACTAAATGTTAAGTAAAAAAGTGTTCTGTGGTTTCAGGAGTGAGAGAATAACCTCCTGCTACAGAAAATATAACACAAGATTCCTACATTTCTGAAGGGAGCTGATCACAGAGATGCAGGAAAGACAGGTAACTTTAAGCAGAGGATTAATTCATATGAATTTCCATTGCACATCATTATGCACATGTTACATGTCTATATATTATGCATCTGTTACTTGTCTTTATTGCAGTTGTTTTAAGAAAGTTTTGACATTGAAACATGTGAGTGGTATTAAATTTCACATCACATGATTCTTCAGAACTTAGTAAATATATAGATTTGCTGCTAATGAAGTAATATTTGTGATTTTCATTTTGTTTAATTTTTTATGATTAATTGATTTATTAAATCTTAGAAAAAAGTTTACACTAAATTATTTGTCATCACATCTGTTTTTAGCATTGATAGCAATCCGAAATGTTTCTTGAGCAGCAAATCAGCACCATTTGATAATCACCATTATATTAGTTCAACCTCAAGCACTAAATCAACATCTTAAAAAAAGATTTCTGAAAGATCAAGTGACACTGAAGACTTGAGTAATGATGCTGAAAATTTAGCTTTACATCATAGCTATGAATTACATGTATATTTACACTGTTTACCCATCCCTTACACCTTAACTCATCCTCAAACAAGTCAATTTAAGCCCTAAATGAATAAATTTTGATTTGTACAGGCATGATATGCAACTTGTATTCAGTCGTTTTGTTTTTTCTTTCTTTTGCTTTTGTTTTCCACATCAACTGAAAAGGAGGTCTAAGTTTAACCTAAGTGCCGTGTTGCTGATGAACATCTTTATATGTAAGTATATTTTTGACTGACTGCCAGACACTTGTCAAACAGTGATGAGCAAACGAGGGGCCGTTCTTTTAAAAAGATCAGGGAGATGCAAGTCTGAAAATAAATATACATTTTAATTCAAAATTGATTTATCTGTAAATATTTCATAATGTTTTGAGATATGTGCCCTATATGCATTTAGATGTCCATGCATGTTTAAAATACTTTTAAATTTAACAATGGCTGCAAGTTATAAAAACATAAACAAACACAAAAATGTTAAAGTAAATTGAGAAAACATTTTCATCAGTTTGACAACAGGTAGATCAGCTCCTGACAGACATGTTAACAGATCAGTTTAACTCTTATTAATCTCATTCATTCATTCATTCATTTTCTTTTCTGCTTAGTCTTTTTATTAATCTGGGGTAACCACAGCGGAATGAACTGTCAACTTATCCAGCATATGTTTTACGCAGTGGATGCCCTTCCAGCTGCAAGCCATCACTGGGAAACAACCATATACGCTTGTTCTCACTCATACACTACAGACAATTTAGCCTACCCAATTCACCTGTACCCCATGTCTTTGGACTTGTAGGCAAAACCGGAGCACCCAGAGAAAACCCACGCAAACGCAGAGAGAATTTGCAAACTACACACAGAAATGCCTGCAGATCCAGCTGCGGCTCGAGTCAGCATCCTTGCTGTAAGGCGACAGCACTACCTATTGTGCCACCACGTCACGCTCTTATTAATTTATATTTATATAATTTTGTGTTTCAGTACATGCTATTTTGGGAAGACAAAATATATTCATAAGCTCTCAGAAAATTCAATAAGAGAATTCATTCCTTCATTTTAAGAGAATTAACTGCACAATTACTTGAAATGTGTGGGATTACATTATTTGTTAACCCAAAGTGAGTTTCTCTTTTTTTTGCAGTATTGGATGCCTGATTGCAGTTCAACTCCAAACTCAGTTGGACCAGCTGATCAGTGTCTTCAGTATTACCACAAGCTACTGGGCAGATGTGTGGACAGCTATGAGCCAAACTTGGGACGTTTGGTTTTTAGGTAATACCAGTGACAAAGTATTCAGTAAATTGCTTATAATAAAAGATGCTCACTGCTTACCCCCTTATAGTTACGTTGTTTGCAGTTTCATTGTTGTAAAAATACCATACTTTTTGAAGTGTACTATGTGAATGACATAAAGGAAACAGGATCAAAAAGATCATTCATTATAGAATGTTTCATAGGTAACAGCACATCCTTTGTGAAAAATAATTTATTTTTGTGCCATCATCACAAGACAAAATACATTTCAACTGATTTCAGTTGGTTATATTTTTCAGGTCCTCCTGATCATTCTGTTCTCCTGGTTGTGAGGATGTGCAGAGGCTGTATTTGTCAGTGTTAAAAGACTTGTGCAGCTGTATCCAGACATACAAGCAGCCGACAAAGAGTTCTGGAGCAGGACAGACAGGTAGTTCATAGTGGCTAGGCTAGAAGTTTATACTTGGGTGCCCAGAAAGTGGCCTCCGCTATTTTGGGGGGTCCATACAAATACACCAGTGTAAGCTATACTATTGCACTGAAAAAATTAAATGAAAGAATTAATTAATCGGTTGAACACAAAATATTTTAAAGAAAGCTTAAGTATCAAGGTGGCAATATACAGTATCTGTTACATTGTAGTACATGAGCTGGCTATTACAGACTCGTAAATGTTTAGTTGTTAAGATTAGTTAAATACTATATCCTCTACTTGAGACCTGTTGCATATACAGCTTTAACTGAACTGAATTTAACTAGAACTACACCAGCATTCCAAGTGCTCTAGACTAGCTTTTTGCACTGGTGCGTCTAAAATGTTTGATGGCATTGCAATTAACACTGCAATTTTACATGTTAATTTTTTTTTAAATTACAATCCATATAGGCAATATTGACTTGTAAATGATTAACTAAAATCGGGTCAACACACATTATGGGGATTGTGTGTAGAATTTTGAGGAAATTAATGAATTTAATCCATTTTGAAATAAGACTGAAACATTAAAAATGTGGAAAAAGTAAAGTATCAATACTTTCCGGATGCATTGTATATGGTTTTTAGCGCGTTATCAAAGACTTAAAAAAATAGTCCAACATTATTTACAGCAGCAAAAGACCCTCCACATCAAAAGCTACTGGTCAGCTCACGATTCAGCAAACATCTGAAAAACAAATAGCTTATTATGCCTTCACAAGAAATCAGTGTTTTTGAGTCTAATGAAGATAGTACTATTTTATTAAATTATTATTTAGCCTGGCACGTTTACTGTTACAAAATATTTTAAATGTTTCTTAAAACAAAACATATTGTGTTCAATGGGGA